TTCATCTTGTTTTTTTAAATTTTTTATGTATATACTAGCAAGATGTCCAGAATGTTCTAGAAGAAGGATACAGACACAAGATCAAGAGACTAAGAGAATAATCTAGAAAGTTCCTGTTTACAAACAATGAATACACAATAAATAATACACATGTACATACAGTAATAACATGTAGATCTAATCTGTCAAAAGTGGTTAAATAATATCCTCAACATTTCCAGTGCCTTCTTTTAGTGCCTAAAGACCCCTTAATCAAGCCTAACTTGAACTGGTCCTTATCTTCTTTGAGAGTAAAATGTAACTCAATTTGGTACCAAAATCCCTCTCTGCCTGCGTTTTCCCTTGAAGAAGCAACATCATCTAGAGCAGACATTTTTACACTTGAAAAAAAGGGAGCCAATATGCCCAGGGCACCGCCTTTTATACCGCACCTTCTCGTTTAAGGTAATTGGCAATTTTACATGCTTGCATAGCTGCTTGGATTTCTTAATGCATAATTTTTTGTTTGCTGTCTCATGCATCAGGGCGTCACTGGCCTTAAAAGATTGGTGGGGAGGAGTGTTTTTCTTGCGCGAAGCGCGCAAAAAAATTTGCCGTTTCTAATTAATTTCATAGTGGGTGTGGTTAATTTGGTTAATTGATTGATTATTGACGCCCAAAATTCATACGGCGTTCATTTCCAGCAAATTGCAGCAATAAAATTGCTCAACTACCGACTGTATTCTACATTATTAGTTAGTTGTTGATGTAAGTGTAAAGAAGTAAGCAGAATTGAGTCTTTCTTGTCTTAAATTAATAATTTAATAACTAATTTTAATAAAAATGGCTACTGATCTTCAAAATACTGGTGGGGCAACTGCCCTACCTCCCCCTTAGGCAGCGACACCCTTGTGTATGACATAGTTTTCAAAGCGCTTTGATGCGCTTTGTTGATACAGCTAAGTAATGCTCATTGATCTTGTTCACACTAGCAGCTGAATTATGTTCTTGTTGCCATTGGTTTACATTGATCCATTGATCGAAGCACATCACTTCCCATCAATCCACCTCTGGAGGTGAAGTGAGAGTGATGCACATCAATGCGCATTAATTCAAAACCACTCTAGTATGAACACAATCAATGCACATCAATGCGCATTACTTTTGCTAGTGTGAAAAGGCCTTTAGGCAAATAAAATCTATCAAGACAACAATATCTGTGCCATCATAGTATATACGCAGGTGTTAGTTTTTAAAGCTCTTTTGACTTGAGTCAGTGCAAAACATACACTATTAATCCAAAGCAATGCGGAATCATGGTCATTATCTCTATCATGCTGCATAATAGAAATGAAGCACTATGGTGCAATGGACTCGCCTGCTGGAATTCACCTGAGTGATATGTATTACTTGTACTGTGATATCAGTTTAAGCAATTTGAAAAATATTATTATTGACTGCATAGTTATAATGATAATTAAAATAAGCTATGGGTGTGGTCAACAACTAACTAGCTAAATCATGGCACATGGGTAGGAGAAAGAAGAAAAGCTGAAATTTATTTTAGCATCTGAAGCTTTATTCCAAGAAAGAGTTGGCACAGAAAATTTTTCTAGATATTTAAAAGAGACTGAGAGAGTTTGGTTGCTCCTGCTTTCCCCAGTGCCGCCTAAAAAATTCTCAAAGAGGCTAAATCACAAACTTTGAGCAACTGTAACTCACAAACAACAAAGTTAGGACAAAATCGTTCTTTTTTGTTTTTCGTTAGATGGGATTTTCTACCTCTGAAGCAAATCTCGGCCCTGTAGAGTGAAACACGAGCTCTCACCTGGAGAGAGGTCCCCTGGTTTAGCAGTTCACAACTTTTGGTGCCACAGGATGCTACTAGAGCATAACTAGATGAAAGAAAGCAACTTTATCTGTTGCTAGAAGAAGAAATGGAGCTCTAGACTGCTCAGACAAAAATATAATTTTTTTACAAATCAATTAAACTGTGTGGACAGAATGACAGAATGACAACCCAACTGCTTAGTACCCGCCTATGCAAGCGTGGCGAGTCCAATGAAACCCATGATTCATTGTTTTTTTATAGTGCATGAATTCAAAAGCAACTGCGGCGAGTCCAAGCACCATAGGTGTCTCGTTTCCTTTCACGTATTTAATGTTGCATTAGATCCACACCCTCTAATTAAAATTATTATTAATATTGTATTTTAGTTACTAACAGTAAAGGAGAATGGACAGTAGGTGATACATTAGATACCAATGGTATGAATAATGAAGAATACAAGAAGTATCAGCAGCAACTACAGACAGTAAGAAGAATATGGTTGGAGGAGTACCAGAAACCAAGAAAAGGAGATACAGCCGATATTGAGCAAACCGTACAAGCTCTTATTAATCTTGAAGAGAAGGAGAGAGAAGCACAAGTTGCTCATCGAAAATTGGAACAGAAGGAAAGAGAAGAAGCAGAGAAAGAGCAAGAAATAAGAAGATATTGTCATCAGCTACCAGAGAAGGATAGGGAGCATCAGGTGATACTGCAGGAGAAGGATAGGGAGCTACAAGAGACATTACAGCAAAAGGATATTGTGATACTTGAGAAGGATAGGGAGCTACATGTACGTCAGTCTCAAGAGGCAGTTCGTAGGTACCAGCAACAAGCACTTACTGATAATCACTGGGTTATTAATAAAGATGAGGTGACTTCAAACAGTTCCAGACATGAATGGAAGAATATTACTGGTGAGGTTATACCATCAGTACATTACTGTATATCTAATGATGAGATAATACATTGAATTTTATGTAGAAGAGATTGAGAAACTTAAAGCTAATATAACGATGCTGACTGAAGAGAAATCACAATTAGAGGAAAAGAATGAGAATTCAACTGGTAATACTATCAGTATTGCTCCATATAGTGTATACTTTTCATTAGAAGAGAATGAGAAACTTAAAGCTAAAGTTGTTGATAGTGAAACTTATATAGCCACACTGACAGAGGAGAAAACTTTAACTAATGGTAAAACTATCATAGTATTACTGTATGATAATACTTTCTTTTATGTAGAAGAGAATGAGAAACTCAATATTGTAATTGCTAAACTGACAAAGGAAAAATTACAACTAAAGGAAGAGTTGCAGTCAATGAAAGATATTTCAACTGATACTAAGAGTATTCAATGTGACTACTGGACTAAAGCAGGTCAGTGTAGTCTATTGTTTAAATATTAATAATCTGTTATTGTATAGAATTACCATTTGATGGTATGGTAACATTGGGTAAGAAGGTGTGTCTGTATAATGCTAAGAGTAGTCATGAGT